GATATCAGTACATACTCACTCATTGTTCTCATTCTGCCAGGCAGGTCCTGATGCTTAGGTGGCCATGTTGTGTGTCACATGACTCAGCTCTGCAGTAATAGCTCATTGGACCAAGGGTGGCTATGTTGTGTGTCACATGACACGGCTCAGCCAATCCAAACATAGACTGCTCAGCAATCTGAAGTTGTCTGCTGAGACTGTAAGGGAGGAACTAGTGGGATTCTCTTTTGGAGAATTTGACTAGGAAATATTTAGAGAATGAGGGAGAACGCGATAGAGCAGAACCTGCAAATTGACAAGAAAATGGAGAGTGGAGAAAACATGGTTGATTCACTGTAGTAAGCATGAGGCAGCAAAAGCAGTGAGAATATAAAGACAAAAGTGGAACTATCATGTACCCCATAAGCAAGAGGAAGAGAATGTCCATGATTCTGATTCTAGTTCCATGGGACTCATCATCACAAGTCCTCTTTTGCTTGAGGTACTTTCAGTCGGACTGTTTAATATACCATTTAATATCATGTTATTAATATATTATATATAAAATAATTAACATTATATTATGTTATATTTAATATAATAGCCTCAGTAGTCAGTGTGACCTGGAGGAAATGCCTATAGGAGAGAGTGTGCTGGATGCCATCTTTCACCCCTCCATACTAGTGCTCTACTCTCTCTACTTTGTTTTGGGTCTTGATAGTGACAGTCTCTGTAGATTTCATCACTGACTCTTTTCCTTTGTCTTCTGGTGGGGTTGCACATGGGAATCATGTATATGGAGCACATGGGAGGCAAGAGATCAGATGGGGGAGGTGTGGGCAACTGTGGCATCTATTCCCAGATTCTTCTCCACTACATTGCTATAAGTCAGCTTCAGGTCTTTGCCAAAGGCTGTGGCTCCAGCCAGGTGTTCCTCTCCATGTAAAAAAAAAATAAATAAAAGATAATTATCTTTTCCAGATAATTTTTTTCTCAGATGCTGGTTCAAGGAAACTGCTCTCTACCTTGCCTCTTTGGGACTAGGGGATGAGAAGGGCCCTCCACTGTGGCTAGTCCCAGAGCAATATACTCTCTTCTTGGTTTCCCTAAACCTGCCCACACCTTCATAAGTAGTCCCTGTTATTAAATTCTCCTTACATTAATTACCCTGTCCTACTAGGAGTCTACTTGATATAAAAAGGAAGGTCTACATAGTTAAATGTTAGAAATTTTGTAATAGGAGTGACAGGAAATGGAAGTACTACATTGTGCCCAATAATTGTAGGCTGTGATATTGCTCTACTTAAGGAGGCATTTTTTCCACTTTGCGATGAAATTGTGTCACTTGTGCCCCTGGTGGTAATTTCAGTTTTCCCCTTTGAATACAAGGTAAAGTCAAGGAATGAAAAGGAAAGGAAAGGAAAAAAGTTGGGAAAGAGGGGTTTCTTTGTATTTGGAAGGCCTTTATAGAACTGAATGGAGAGCCCAGAGGGTGTTGGAGATTGTACAGCTTGTTGTCATTTTTATAACCATTTAAAAACTTGTTATACTTCTTGTTGAAGTATAACATACAGAAAAGTGTACAGATAATATGGTATAGTGAGATTTTACTAACTGCATTCATTCTTGTAACCAGCACCCTTACCAAGAAGCAGGGTATTAGCAGAATCCAAGAAACTTTCTTATTTTAGTCACTATCTTATCTCCAAGGGAAATTACTGTTTTAACTTTTAACACTATGGATTCATTCATCTTGATTTTGAACTTTGTATGCATGGAATCAAATAATGTGTTCTCTTTTGTATTTGGCTTCTTCCATCTACATCAAACTAACAAAATATATTTATTGCTTTAGTTTGTAGTTACAGTTTGCTCATTCTCATTACTGTCAGTATTCTATGTTTATATAACCATAATTTATTTCTCCATTCTATTGTTTATGGGCATTTGGGTAAATTTCAGTTTGGATATTATGAGTTCTTCTGTTACAAATATTCTAGTACATACCTTTTGGTAAACAAAAGTATGTATTTTTCCTGTTAGGTTGATACCTAGGAATGGAAGTTCTGAGTCATACGGTATGCATATGTTTAGCTTTAGTAGATCCTGCTAAAGTGGTTGTACCAATTTATGCCCCCTGTTGGGCATAAATGTTTTAATGGAATTTTAATATACATATTATATATTTTTAATATATATTTTATAATAATATTTTATATACACACCTTAAAACTCTCCCATCCCTGACTCATATTCCAGCCACAGCATTGGCAACCAATTTCACACAGACTTCAACCAGTCTTGGAGAAGGATTTGCTGGCACTGCCCACTTCAGCTCCACCTCTTCTGTCCTGGAATTTTTCTGGTCCTCTGGTGTAGGACATCTTTGCAATGAATGGTTCGGCTTTCATGTGCGCAACTCAGAAAAACAGGGGAGTTAATTCTCTGTCCTGTGGCAATTCTTGACTAAAAGGAGATGGGAGCTGCTGAAGAATAAATGCTGTCCACCTGCCCCTCCTTCCGGGAATATGGTCCTGATAGGCGTTTCATAGACTTTTCAGCTGTCTCATGAGATCAAACATCCAGGTGCATGAAAATATTGATACCTCCATAAGGATTTCCGCTGGCTTTCCAATAAGTCTTTTTCACCACTTGTCTGTCCCATCCTTCATTCCTGCTCCTTGTAATCATACTCCCAGAAAAACTACTTATACTTAGGCTTTTCTATCAGACTTTGCTTTCTTTGTTTTCAGAGGAACTGACCTATAACATTCTTTAACTTAGGAAAAGCAGTTCCAAGCCACTTTGAAGTTTCTTCTTGGTTTGAAGTGATTGCGTTGGAATAAAATTATCCTAAGAAAGTTGGTAGGAATGTCTTGAACCCAGGGGTGCTTTGCTACTAAGCTATATCTCCAGCCCTTTTTACTCTTTTAGTTTCCAACAGGGTTTCACTAAGTTACTGAGGGTCATGTTAAGTTGTCAAGACTGGCTTCAAACTCACAGCCTGCGTCAGCCTCCCAAGTCACTGGGATTACAGGTGTGTGCCACTGAGCCCCGTGGTAGAGATATCTTAACTGAAGAATTTCTAACTATTCTCAGAGGGTAGAAAATCAAATCGGCCATGGTCACAGTCAAATCAATAGGTATGAAAAACAAAGTGCATTTTTAGAGGAGGGGAATAAAAAGTGCTAACATTTTGGAGAATCTCTTTGGCCTACTTTGCAGTTTTGCCTTTAATAACAAACGATGCATGGATTCAGGTCTCTAGGGCTTCCTATCTCCATAGCCTCTGATGGTTTAAAAACATACACCATTAGCACTTGCCTCATTTTTCCTAAACTGGCGATTGTCACGGTTCCTTTAAAGACAGTGCCATGGAAGACAGCAGTCACCTCCCACACCCCACGCCCCCAGACACCCAGGATATATCTTGTGTATACTTAAGCTGTCTCTGACACACATAATTTCTTTTTCATCCCTGAGTAATCAGTCTTTTTAGTTCCTTCAGCAAAGAGAACAGTATATTTTTGTACAGAAAGATTTGGGAAGAGAGGAAAATAAAAGCATTCTTCCACCCCAAATCAAATCCAGTGTAAATTTCCACAAAAGAGCGACAAATAAAAGATGGGAGGGAGGGAAACCACAGAAGGTCCCAGAATAAGCGTATTTATCAAGTGCTAGTTGAGCATCCAGTTCTATTTGGCACATTTAAAAATGTTCTCTTTGAAGATTTGGGTGCTTAGGGGTTAATGATGGTGGCTAAAACCCTATCGCTTTGAATAGGAGGGATTAGTTTTGTTATTTTAGGATTAAGGTCAGTCTTATGGACAGGCTGCCACATCCACTCATCAGCCACTCCCTACCCCACTGGCACTCTGCTTGTGAATCTCAAATTCTCCTGTGGGCTGCTGATACTCTGAGTCAGACATTTTTTTCTTTTTAATGTCACTAAAAGGGAAGAATATTCACATATGCCTACTCCAAAACCCAGAAAGGATTCACCCTAACCAGTTGTTTCCATAGGACACAGAGGAGGGAAGAATTCCATATGCCTCTGGTGGTGTTAGATTGACTGCACAGATAGCTATATTCTTCAACTTTCTCTGTATGTATGCCCGTTGCAATATGACTTAGAAGCTTTTCTCCACAAGAGAAGTCTTTTTCCCTATCTCTGGGATATGCATTGCTTTGTGACTTGCCCTGGCTGATAGAACAGGGCAGAAGTGAGGAGCCTTGGCCTCAAGAGGACATGCAGCGTCCACTCTTTCTTGGACTCCTGATTTTGTCAGGAGAGCAAACCCTAGTTGGCTGGCAGGAGAACAAGAGACCACAGGGAGAAGGGGGAGGAGCTTCAGCAATAGCTAGCCAATTTCCATAGGCTAAAATGCCCAGTGGACTGGAGTCACATGAGGAGCTCACTCAAGATCAGCAGTGCATCAAGCTTAGTCCAAAATGCCAAACTGTAGAATTGTCAGCTCAATAAATATTTATCATGGAAGACACTATGTCTTGAGGTTAGTTTGTCAAGGAGGACTCATTAACAAGGTTCATAGCCTCCACTATATTCCTTGGATCTATATTCTGGTTTCCTTTATTATTAATAGTATTGACAAAAATGCTAATGATAGTAATATATGGATACTGCAGAATATAGCACCATTTGGTTCACACCAATAGTACATCTAGGGAATCATTTCTATTTTGGGGACGTAAATGATGGAGAAAGAAGTACTAATGTTGTTGACTTTTAGTTAAAAGTCAGAGAGACTGATTGAGATTTAATTGTGAAAAAATTTGCACACTAACTGCTACATTGAGAAAATGAAGATACCTGGGCTGTTTTTTGGGTAGATCTGATAAAGGCATGAAACATTTCCAAACTTAATTTATTTCAACCTAAGCAAAGTCCACTGAGTATAATGTATGCACACACATGTGATGAATGTACACTCTAATTAAAAGTGGCAAGGGGTGACTGTTTCTATTCCTGATGGTGCCGACTGTGTTTCCTTTCACTTTAGTTATCATCCTGGTGGCACGGAAGATTTAAAAGGCATTTTAATGAACGTCATCTCAGTTGATCTTCCCAAGTGTCCTGTCAAGTAAGTAAGGCAAGCATTGTCACAGCATTTAGCTTAGACACACACAGATTAAAGCTCAGGGAAGTTTCAAGACTCTTGATTAAATTTTCTTTTCATAGCAGCTGCATGAAAAGTAGTTTATAAACTACTCTTTATAAACTCTTTATAGTTTTGTGGGAGGTATCATTTATTATCTCTTACTATAGTATCTTTTACTATAAAATTTCATGTCACCAACCCTTGTTTGCAGAGGGCTATTGCTGTGTATGAGGGACAAAGGCTGGACTTCATGAATGAAGGGCAGTGGGGTCAGATGATAGCTGTTATTGATTTGCAAGTGGCCCTTGCCCTTCACTGAGGAATGCCAGTTTTTTAAAAACTTTATTTATTTATTTATTTATTTTTATGTGGTGCTGAGGATCGAACCCAGTGTCTCACAAGTGCTCTACCACAGAGCCACAATCCCATCCCCAAGGAATGCCAGTTTTTAGATGCTAGCTGACAGTATTAAGGGAAGTTTCACAGAAGAAGAATGGATCCAAAGAATGCTAGAAGTAGGTGGAAGGCAGCATACTGCTCTATGGCAGTGCTTTGGGGAGATGTTCAGGAGTTGGCATGAACTTCATGAAAGGGTTGTCTTTGGGAGGACTCCCCTCCAACAAGAATTAGAAGTAGACCCTCCAACAAGAATTTCACGACCAGTTGTTTATTTGAGAAAGGGTTCTAGGAAACATAAGTAGCAAGGTGAGAAAGAGAAAGAAGAGAAGGTGGACAATACAGACAGTGATAATCATCAGGTAAATTCTCAAGAGAGAAACTGGAGATTGAGTCCATGGGGGAAACTCAGGGAGACAATGAAAGATGCATACCTCAGTGGTGTCCCAACCCAGGACTGAGGCAGCTAGAGTGTCCACTCCCCATCCATCCTTGGTTGAAGACTGTTTCTGAGCATTAAATTTCAATGAATACAGAGAATTTTCTCTATTAGTTTTTTTGATTCCCTACTGCTATACCCATAATACTTAGAACAGGGCCTGGCATATAATAGAAATTCAGTAAATATTTATTGAAGGAGTGAGTGAATGAAAACTGGCTTCCTAAGACCTTCTAAGAAATCCATTCCTGCCATGTTTGCTGTTCCTCTTGGAGCCAAATGTCTCCTGGAGTTTCCTCGTTGGCTGAATTGAGAGCCAAATGTCTCATGGAATGTACCTTCTTGGCCTCTCTTGAACTTTAGAGCCACACATATCTGGTTTGAATCATGCCTTTGCCACTTATTAGCTAAGAGATCTTGTTCAAATAAACTGTCAATGTTTTCATCTGCAGAAGGGGACTAATATAAGCCAATTTTGCAGAATTTTTAAGAGGGTTTAATGAGTCAACATAAAAGAGGCACTTAACAATGTCTGGCATGTACTTGATTGTCATAAAATATGAAATTGTCCTTTCTCTTAATAGCCAGTGCAATCATCAATTTGCTAATGATTTAGTGACATAGAAATCAAGGAAAGTTGGTCAAAGTAGATGCCAGGGAGTACTTAAAGGAGGGATAACAGAAACTAGAAATGGAGAGAAGGACAAGAGGAAAGGACTGTCTTACTAGGATCTGGGACCACTCTTCAGCTCTGGTCTTTTGTAGAAGGGTCCTTTCCTAGTGCCATGTATGGGGGTTGGGGGGACATAGAAGATTTAGCCTTTACAGTGTTCTGTATTCACTAACCATTACATTTCTAATACATTTCCTGGGTTGGCACATTGCCCAGAGATGAATTATCCCTGGGGATCTATCCTCCTTTAGCTAGAAGTTGCTGACTTCATAAGAACGGAGGCACGACAAATGAAATCATTAAAGGCAATGTGCTTCACAATGAATTATGTGACTGGTCTTAAAAGCAAAATGCTTGTATTTTAACTCTCATGCACTTAGTGTATGATTTTAAATTCTCAAACAATATGAGAATACATTTACTGACTGGTGGAGAACAGATGGAGTTTGGAACAGAACATGGCCCACATGCTGACCCTTTGGCAATTTTGACATATAGAACATATTCACTTTCTCTGTCTTCTAGCATCCCTTTTTACTGCCATGATTTTTAAGGAATAAATGTGTTCTTACTCTAGTTCCTTAGAATAGCTTCTCTGAGCATTGGGGAACCTACATAATGTGTTCTGAGGCTTGGAAAGAGGCCAAAGAACAGCAAACATTTATTTACAAGGACAATGTTGTCATCTCTGTTTTTTCATCATAACTGGTCTCACCAAATTTCGTGGGTAAAATTATCTGACAGTCAACCTAGGGAATCAGGATACATTTATCTGCATTGTTATTATGGGGTTATGCAGAGAGTTGTGCAGGTGGAAGACATGGAAGTGATGGAGGAGATGGTGGTGTGGGCAATGTGGAGGTATAGGTGGTGGTGGGGGTGACAGACATCATAGAGGTGATTATGGTGATTGTAATAAAGGTGGTGATAAACAGTGATAGTGGAAGTGCTGGTTAAGATAGTGGAGAAGGAGTATAGGCAATGTAAAAAATGAAGATGGTGTAGGTTGGGGTGGTGGTAGAGGTGATCGTGTAGAGGTATTGGTGGTGGCATTGTTTGTGGATGTAGTGGTAGAGACCATTATGGTGGTAAAACTGTGATGGCAAGAGAATTGAAAACATCCGTCTACAAAAACAAACAAACAAAACAAAACTTCCACATGAATGTTCATGGAAGCATTAGATATAATAGTCCAGAGTGGAAGTACCCAAATGTCCATAAATTGATGAATGGATTAAAAAAATGTGGCATATCCATACAATGGAATATTAATTGGTCGGAAAAATGAATGAAGTACTGATACACCCTGCAACATGAATAAGCCTTGAAAACATGCAAGTGAAAGAAGCCCAGGTGAAAGAAGTCAGCGATAAAAAGACCATTGTATGATTCCTTATGTGAAATATTCAGAACAGGAAAATCATTATAGAGACAATTAATAAGCTAGTTGTTGTCTAGGGTTGGGAAAGTGAGATGTGAATGATTGCCAATAGGCATGTGGCTTGCTTTGGGGGTGATAATGATGTTCTAAAATTATACTGGATAACTTTGTTATTAATATACTAAACAACCTTTGAATTTTATATTAAAATGCTAGATCAGCATTCTGCTATGGAGTTATATGCCCAGCTAAATGGGTGCATTTTATGATAAGTCCATAGAGTTATAAAAACAAATTGGGGCCCGTACTGATGGTGGTGGTTGTGATTAGTTAAGGGCTGAACTTTGGTTGGTGGGTATTTGGAGGACAGGAAGGAAGATAAAAGTTGACTGACACCAGATGTACCTGAATTTACATAGGACCAAGCTTGATTTTTTTCAGTGTCTGCTGGAAACGACATTTTCCCCCCACAGCTAATACTGAATTCACAGGCAAGTATTTCTAGAACAAATTATGAAAACAAGGCCAAATTGTCAGCTGCCTTGGAATTATGTTTAAAGAGGACATCTTTGGTTCTTCCACCCAGTGTTGTCTTCACATACAACTGGCTTCTTAGGAGAAATGGAACAGAGTAATGAGGCTTTGTCTTCTTGTGTGAATGCCAAATCAGACGGGTCCATGAAGAAATTAAAGCAGATATCTGGGGTCTATAATTTTTAATAATTTTAAACTAGCTACAAAATGTCAATCACTTCACAAACCGACAGAGGAGACAGGAGGAATTTAATATTACATGCTGTAATGATATTTATCTCACAGTTTATATTTCATTCATTTATATTATTTTTTTAAAGGTTTCTTTATCAGCTACTAAACATCTCAGCAATTTGGTGTGCATAGCTCTAGATTAAGCAACAAAGAATTGTACTGATAACGAATCACAGGGGAAATGGTGATCAACGAGAGTCACCCTTATAAAATTTACATCTCCACACTGTTTCACAGCAAGATTATTTTCTCCAAAACATAGCCTTCAAAAGCAGCAAACAAACCCTATATTACATCCATTTGACATAGTTTCAGCCAAACATATATTTTGCTGGAAATGATTGAATGGTGAGTGTGTCAAATCCATCTTTTTTTAAAATTCATTTTTTTAAAAAAGGATGATTATGGTTAATAAGTCTATATGTCGACAGAAAGAAAGTGACACTACTGCAGTTTTGCTGGTATAACTTAATCTTGACAGTGTCTCAATACTGAGCATGCTTTGTTGGTTGGTTGTTGTGTTGTGTGTGTGCGTTGTTTTCTCATCAGTATGCTATTGTCATGGAAAGTTTTTGTTTAAGTAGGAATCTAAAAATCTATTTAGTTCTCATGCATAAATGCATAATCACATCACTTTTAGTGCAATGCCTGTTATGTAATTCCACATTGTCTAATCATGAAATCATAAAGACAGATAAGAGCCATGAGGAACTAAAGACAGCACATTTTGAGAGATTCAGAGCCTGACACCCAAAGAAAGGACCGTGGCAGTAGCTCTGTGGAATGTCACAGTTTTACGAGAACAATACTGTGTATTGAAAGAATCAACAGCACATTGAGCATTCCTAAATTGTTGTCATTCAGCAAACGCCACTGAGGAGAGAAAAAAAGGAAAAATGAAACCCAAGACATCTTACACAGAGCGTTAGAGCCACTAAATGACCACTATGTACAACCTTTGGAAAGAAAGAGACTCAGAGAACAAAAGACATATGGCATTGTCAGAAAGCTGACAAATGACACAGGACAACATTCACGATGGGGGTGGTCTGATGTGTGTGTGTGTGTGTGTGTGTGTGTACGTGTGTGTGTGTGTGTATGTGCAAGACCTACTCGGTAATACCATGAGAAAAGCATGAAGGAGCTATCTTGCTCAACAGCATTCGGAAGAGAGCACAGTTGAGAATCTTTAACCACTTCCCAGCATCTTTGTTGCACGTTGGTTGGCCTCATCGATTCTGGTTTTGTTGGAATCAGCCTAGAAAAAAGAGAAAGAAAACGGAACCCTTAACATCTTGTTCATCTTTTAGGGTCCAGGTCAAATGCTTCTTGGGTGAAGAAGATACCCAGTCAGAATTGGCCACTCTCACTTCTGTGTTTCCAAGACCATTGCTACAGCTCTACTTGGATGACCACTTAAACTTGATTTTGCTTTTTCACGGTTTTCCCCACCAGAGAGCATTCTTTGTCATTTATCTTTCTATCCTGGAAGGATAGTTGATGACTTCTATGGTACATTCATCTGTTGGACTGAGTTGAATCACCACCACTGTACAGTCATGGTTCACTTATTAGCTGTGTCAGTTTGAACAAACTGTATCTCGGAATCTCAGCTTTCTTGTCTACTCTCTGGGGACAATAAAGAATACAGCCAGAGAGCATGAGCATCTACTTTGTTCCATTTATTCAACATTGATAACATCAACCATCAGGTGTGTGTGATTATTAGCTCCTTTTTCCAAGTGAAAAAATTGGGCAGACAGGATTTAGGCAATTTGTCTAAAGTCTTTGGGTGGGGGGACACCACAACCAGAATGCAAGTAGCCTGAAGTCAGAATCCATACTGTATATATATCACTCTACTACTTAGGTTTGCAGAGAGGATGAATCAAATCTATATTTGTTACTATGTAAGTAATGTGCTTAGAATAACATTTTGCCTGTGGGACTAGCCTAGGTGTCCATCAGGGCATAAACGGATAAAGAAAATGTGGTATATATACACAATGGAGATTTACTCAGCCATAAAGAAGAATTAAATTATGTCATTTGCAGGAAAATGAATGGAACTGAAAACCATTATGTTAAGCAAAATAAGCCAAATTGAGAATGTCAAGGGTCATGTGTTTTTTCTTATATATGGAAGCTAGAGAGGAAAAAGGAAAATAAGGTGTGTGTTTGTATGGGGGTGGATCTCATGATAATCAACAGGAGATCAGTAGAGGAAAGAGACCAGGGCAGGGAAGAGGGGAGGGAAGGAAATACTGGGGAATAAAACAAATTATATTATTGTATTGTAATTCGTACAATTATGTGACAATGAACCCCACCATTACATACAATTCTAACGCACCAATAAAAATATGGAAAAAAGAATGTTTTGCAACACAAGTGCTCAATGCATCTTATCTTGCAGTTACTATAAACTACGGCTTTTGGGGATACTTGATCATTTTCAAACTCTATTCTGAAGACTCACAAATGTGAGTATATTAATTGACTGGTCTACCCCCACCCATCTCCTTCCTCTACTCTACTGGTCTTCCTTCAATTTCTGATATTTTATTAATATCACAAAGTGGAGGTCAGGAGAGTCTTGTGATGTTGCACGCATCTTCTCTCTTAACTCCAGTGACCATGTTTACCCACCTCTATTCATCATGATCTATGATATTCTGTCATCATTTGAATTGATAGTGAAGTTTTGGGAGTCCAAAACAATGAGATTTTCAAAACATGTAAATATTCTTCTAAGGTCAAAATATGTTTTTTGACCTTAAAGAAAACAAAAGGAGGCAAGTGTATATCAGATGCTTTGGTACTTTCTACATATATACAAAGGAGAAAAAAATATGGAATGAACCTCACAAAATCATGTTATATACATGTATAGATGTACCAAAGGAAGTATGTCCTTTGTGTACATGTAGAAAGTACCAATCCAAAATAAGTAAATAAAGGAGTGACAGGCAGAACAGTTTGAGAAAAAGGGGAGGGAGGAGGGAAAGAAGGGGAGGCAGAATGGGGGATTGACACCAAATTTCTTGTATGTAGAATTATGTCAAAAGGAATATATATATATATATATATATATATAGATATAGAGAGAGAGAGAGAGAGAGAGAGAGAGAGAGAGAGAGGAGAAGAGAACTTTCATTCCTATTCTATTTCTTTATTGCTTTTATTGGTGCATTATAGTTATACAGATGCTATATAGATAGCATAAGTTGGTCAATTTCATTCCACTCTTGCCCCCCCTTACTCATCCCTCCTCCCTTCCCCTAGATCCCCTGCCTCTGCTCTACTGTTCTTTTTATTTTCATGATAGGCTTTTCTTTATTGGGGGCATATTTACTATAATTTTTTTTGCTCCCTTTAATCTTTGGGTTGATATCTTCACTGCTTAGATTACATTTTGCTGCAAAAAGAAAGCATAAAACCTCGGAATGCTACCAGAATACACCTTAAACCTCAGAAAATTGATCATTCTCATCACCACTGAGAAAGATGGATTAGAGGCAGAGACAACAATTCTGTTTAGTTGTCATATCCTATCCTGATGGGTAGTGTTGTCTGTAATTCCACTCTGGAAAGAGGAGCATGAAGCATCCAGGCAGGGCAGGGAAACAGAACTGTGTTCTTAATTATTATCACTCAGTGATTACTGAGTTTACACCTACTACCAAATTTGGTACATTTCAGCCTCTACAGAGTTGGGTCTTCTATGTTCAGTTGGAATTTTGAATTTCTAGGGCATTAGGGTCATCCATATTCAAATAGAAATTTGTTAGACTATGTGCAGTGGTATGCACCTATAATCCCAGCGACTGTGGGGACGGGGGGTGGACTGAGACAGGAGGATCACAAGACAGAGACCAGCCTTAGTAACTTAGCAAGACCCTCTCAAAATTTAAAAATAAAAGGGTTGGGAATGTAGCTTAATGGTAGAGCATCTCTGGGTTCAAGCCCCACAACTGGAAAAAAAAAGTTCAAATAGAAATTTGCAAAGTTGAACTTATTTCTAGATAATTCTTCATTTGGAAAATTGAAAATTCCTCCAATTTTATTTCATTCTTAAATCCTCCCTCTCCAGCTATATATAATATCAGAAATAATGATACTTCAGTGCAAAGGAAATTTACTAGCTCAGACCAATGTGAAATGTTCCTGAAGATTGAATTATGCTGACTGTTTCCAGGCTGAACTCTGAGACAAACTCAAACAAGAAAAATAATCCATTTAAAAACAGATGACATTTCTGAAGTCAAACATTCTAGAACCTCTTGCATAAGAATGCAGTGATGAGCCTTCACACAGTGGCACAGGGGATGTTTGCATGGAGCATAAGGCTACTCTTTGGAGATCCTCAAAGATGTGCAAGGAGCTGGAATTGACCTTTGTTCAGTGGGCATTTGTGATTTCCACCTAAATCCTTTCTGAAGCATATTTAATTCCTACCCATCTAATACCCAACATAAAAGGTACCATGGTTTTATTATATAAAATATTAAAAAAGGATGTGTCTTTTAGGAAGAAAAATGTCCTGAATCTCCTTTTAGAAGTCTTCCTGGTATTTGGAGAATGCCTCTGTTCATTCTATTTATATGCTTGAGGACTTTATTTATGGAGGCTAACCCATTCCAGAGTTTTCACATTTCTATTTAGAGAATCCTAAACTTGCTTACATCCCCAACATATGCTACATGATTTGCCCTTATGAGAAAACAGAAATGATCACCAGAGAGCCAATAAGTAGTTTAAGGAGCTGCTCAGCCCACATCTGAACACTGGGAATCTCCTCAACTTCAGACTATGTCAGGTAGCTTTTAGGCCCAAACTTCTCAAACTGGATGCTACTCATTCCATATAGCTACTCATTCTGTATATAAGTATGAACTTTATTATTATTATTATTATTATTATTACTACTACTACTACTACCACCACTAGGGATTGAACCCAGGAGCACTTAACCACTGAGCCACGTCCCCAGCTCTCTTTTGTGTTTTTATTTAGACCCAGGGTCTCGCTAAATTGCTCAGGGCCTCGCTAAATTGCTGAGGCTGGTTTTGAACTTGCAAAATACTCCTGCCTCAGCCTCCTGAGCCACTGGGATTGTGAGTATGCCCCACCATGCCTGGACTGAACTGTTATCTTTTAGATGTGGCAACCAGGTCACAGAGCTGGTGAATGCTGTTGGGATCTAACATCTTAGTTTTTAAATGCTGCTTTTCCTCACTAATGGAAGAATTTGAGGATTGCTAAAAAATCAGCTTCGATGCTTCTCAATGTGACTTCTACCACTGACAACTTTAAATTGCAATTTCAATATCACTGTTATTTCCTTAGCAACCCTTCCCAAAACATCTGATATACACTTGCCTCCATTTTTTTTCTGAAAGAACTGTATGTTTTTGACCTTAGAAGAATATATATATAAGTATTCTTAAGCAGAAAACAAGGATTTTACATGTTTTGAAAATCTCATTGTTTTGGACTCCCAAAACGTCACTATCAATTCAAATGATGACAGAAGATCATAGACCATGATGAATACAGGTGGTAAACATGGTCACTAGAGTTAAGAGAGAAGATGTGTGCAACATCACAAGACTTTCCTGACCCCCACTTTGTGATATTAATAAAATATCAGAGATGCAGGAGACCTCTGCACACTGTTTTCTGTTATTAAGAGTCAGAATCTAATGTTTCCTTTCACGTGTGGAAGCTAAAGCAAAATAAGGAAAAGAAGGTGATTGCAGAGGGGATCAGATGTTATAAATACCTAGGGAAGATCAGCGGAGCAGAAGTAGACAAATGAGAGGGAGGCAGGGAGGAAGGAAGGGAAAAGGAAAAAAATATGTAATGAGCCTCACAAAATCATGTTATATACATGAATAGATGTACCACAGGGAGTATCTCCTTTGTGTACATGTAGAAAGTACCAATCCAAAATAAATAAATAAGGGAGTGAAAGGAAGAACAGTAGAGGAGAGAAAAAGGGGATGGAAGAGAGAAGGAAGGAGAGGCTGAATGGGGATTGACATGAAATTCCTTATATGTACAATTATGTCAAAAAGAAGATGGGGGGTGGGGGGAGAGAGAGAGAGAATTTCCATGAGAAGACCAGTCTGTTAGTAATTGTGCAGCTCAGTAACATGATCATTTGGGGCAATGCTGGGTTGAAATGGGCTCTGTCTCAATCATGCCCAGATTTTGAGTTTGAAAAAAAATAGGGGGTTGGTGCTATTTACGGTATTGACTGGAATAAACTAACTAATCAAAAGCAGCTAGACTCCTCCCCCATTTTTAAATGATTCAGCACTTAAGGAATGAGTCCCACTGGACCAGCTATTTCCCATCCACTTTCCCCGTTTTTGACTAAACTTTATGGCTACATATGTCTCTGTGGAGTACACTGGACCTAGAATAAAAGGTTCTCCCTAAAGATGAGAAGTAGAAATGCAGAGTGGCAGAATCAAGATGCCACTTGCCTTTCCAGGAAGAAATGCTTTCTCTTGCTCCAAGACCAACTCTATCAATGAGAGTTTGACCTCACCATTGGTAAAACCTCTCCTTTAGGAACCTAATTGACTTTGATGAATTATCTTCTTGCATCTGAGTAAATTGGGTCCATTACTAGAAAATGAATGCTTCCTGTTTTCTCAATCATTTTCTTGTTGGAAAGCAGTTCAGCAATTATTTCTAAGTTCATTTTTCTGGGCCATAATGGCTTGGATCAGGTCGTGTAGAAACTCTCAATGTTTTTCTAAAATCTATTGACTTGCACAGCTTTAAAAGCTTTATCACATCAAAAGCTTCTTAACAATGATAATGTGCATGCCATAACTTGCAAAAGTAAGTAAAGCACAGCATTTTGCCAACCAACTGTGACTTCTGTGTAGCTCTATATCGATTAGGCAAAATATTATGCAACTAGAGATTCTCAATATGGGGCACATACAAGACAAT